CGAAGTGGGACTGGCGTCGCGTCTCTCTGTTGACCGACCAACCAGAGCCCTCAGTGGCCAAGTGTGAAGGCGCCTTCCGAAACAGTTCTCGGCTGGCTTCCCCTCGAGGTCGACTGCTACACTTCGACCATACTTAACCATTACCGTGTATTTGTGTGTATGTGTGTGTGTGTGTGTTATTTTGGGTGGAGAGGGTGCGACCCAAAATGGGTGGGAAATCATCTATTTGCCTATTCGCATGTGGATGCATGTGTGTGTGTGTGTGTGTGTTTGGCCAAGCGAGTTGGGCAACTTGGCGACAACATAAACCGAGGAAGAACTGTAAGTGAAGATTTCGCAACCGCAGTCGCCGACAAATTGCGACTTGCTGAGGCTGAGGCAATGACGACAGGGCGAAAAGAGAGGCTGGTCTCCTACTCGTCTCCGTCTCTTTCCCCTGAAGATCTTCACGAGTCACTCGCCCTGGCAACCGACTGTCCATTCTGCATGGCTCACTGTGCCTCGAAAGCAGAAAGCCCCAGAGTCTCCTGGTCAGTGGAGCCTTCAGGTCGTCGTGAGAGTCAGTCGATCGAAAGGGCCTCGTGAGGCGGTCGCATCGGAGACCGCGCCTGTGACGGTTAACTCATGTAAACATCTCCACGCCAATTCTCGCCTCTAACATACAAACACAAACACAAAGACATAGACACGAACGTGCATACGCACAAGAGACATACAAATGGATGTAAGTGGTTCACTCTCGTTTTCGCATACTGGTACCGTTGTCACGGCAAACTAGTTGAACAAACCTTGTCCGAGCACGTCTGTCATAATTGCCATGGTAATTTCTGGCACCGGACTGCGCACTTTATGCATGCCCAGACTACGAGCAAGGCGGAGGCTGCAGATCAGCTAGTCTGCATGGATCAGGATCGGGTTGATGTTGTTTTGCGAGTAGGCATGAGGCATGTACCAATTCGCCTCGAAACTCCTGTTGGCGTACTTTTGAGTTGGTCTGAAGAGGTGAGTGGAGAAGTTGGGCAGATTGGCCTGGCCGTAAGTAAGTAGGGTTTCGATACTACCAGTAAATCAGTCTAATGAGATGTATTCACCCTATTTCGTGTAAGGTGATGAAGGACGGGTAGTAGAATTTTCCCACAATGAT